CGAACGAGTCGATGTACGCAAGAGCTGCTGGGGACGACCGTTAATGACTAAAGAGTCCGAAGTTCAAATTCCGCCGAGACTTTACATAGTAAAGTGATTTGACCTGCCAAACGCGAATTAGGGTGAGCCCCATATTGTACACCTAGTAATCCTACAAACCCTCATCACGCAATTTCACTATCGTTTTCGTGATCAGCATGGCGGATAACGCCCCTATGCCAAGTTTCAGCCAAATCCGTCAAACTTTGAATTTTTCCCTTCATACAATGCACCTACCGTAACCCTCACTGCGACGTCAGAATTTGGTAGGACAGTAGCTGCGCTTGTAGTTTACGTAATAACCAACGCAGTGGCAAAATAGGAGTGCGCCATGTTGAGTGAGAGGGAAGTTATGAGGCCAGTTGCAAAACTTCCAACCTAATATTAGGTCGTCTCAAAACTATTTTAGCTTTTTTTTGAGCAAGCGCCACAGTCCGCAGAAAAAAGGTATACAGGAGCTCTTGGTAATTGGTTGGTTTGATGCAGTTTTTCATGCTCTTTCTGACGGTCATCTCTATAATGCAGATGATGCAACGAGCTCTCAGAAAATTGCTAAAAACTGCAACTCATGCTCTTTACTAAGGTCAGGTTCAGCTATTTGTCTAAATTCTTGTACTTATTTCCAAGAAGTCCAAGTGACCTGTCGATAGAGCAAACAAAGTAGAATGCAACACAATTTTTGTTCATTTCATAGCTTACTTTGAAAATTTTTTTGAAATTAGTTTCTCGATGCTATGAAATTCCATATTTGGTCAACTTAAACCTCATAGAACAACAGCCGGCGAGCAACTTGGATGCTGTTCGACGCAGCACTTTCTACTCTTTCTTAGACATGTTTTTTGCCCCAGATTCGAGAAGTCTTGGAGGATAAAATCAACAAAATTCGTGTTTTTCAAGAAACCCCAGGCTGTACGCGACAAATTAGAAATTAGATATTTCGAACCCCGGAACGCTCAATTGTTTCGTAAAATCAGTGCTTAATCCTAATCCACTTTAAAAGTATCAAAAATCGAGTGTTTAGTGAAGTTTGACGTGTCTGCGTCTAGTATGGAACTTCTAAAATTCGACGGTGTTGTTCAAAATTTTGTCAAAAAGTTATGGGGAGCCCTGGGAAGGAGAATAAAACCGTTCTGTATCCTACTTTCTTTGCTCTATTCGCTGGTTACTTGGACTCCTTCGAGGGATCAGTATAAGAATTTAGAAAAATCGTGGAACTTGACCTTGGTAAAAAGCATGGGTCGCAGTTTATCGCAATTTTCTGATAGCACATTGTTTCAACCGCCAAATAAAGGTGACCACTTGAAAGAGAATAAAAAACTGCATCGCTGCATCGAATTCTACCAAAAGCTTCTGTTAACCTTTGTTGTGTGGATTTTGGCGCTAGTTCAAAGCTAAAATACTTTTGGGACGACCTAATATATATATTAGGTTGTCCCGAAAGTTTTTCGCACCATTTTCAAAAAATCATAACTTCTTTCCTTTACGACGATTTTGCGCAGTTTAAGCTTTGTTAGAAAGCGTATAGCATGTAGTTTTCAACAGTCTCCTGGAGACTTTCCAGCATGTTCAGATTGCAGGGATAAAAATGAAAGAACGAAAACATCCGAAATTCGGAATTTTTGAGCAACAATTCCAAAAATCTAGGGACTGCGCGATAAAATCCAGAACAGCCATCGTCCTAAGTTTTCTTATATTTAATTACTAACTGAGTTAAGTTTGTCCTGATCAAGCTCTTCTTTCAAAAGTTATGATTTTTTGAAAAAAAAATGCAGGAAATATCACTTTTCTAAGAATTCTTAAGAAATGGATTTTTCGGCACTTTTTTTTTCAAAAAATCATAACTTTTGAAAGAAGAGCTCGATCAGCACAAACTTAACTCTGTTAGTAATCAAATATAAGAAAAATTAGGATAACGGCTTTTCTGGATTTTATCTCGCAGTTTTTAGATTTTTGGAATTGTTTCTCAAAAATTCCGAATTTCGAATGTTTTCGTTCTTTCATTTTTATCTCTGCAATCTAAACATGCTGAAAAGTCTCCAGGGGACTGTTGGAAACTACATACTTTCCGCTTTCTTATAAAATTTGAGTCGCGCAAAATCGTTGTGACGGAAAGAAGTCATGATTTTTTGAAAATGGTGCGAACGAACTTTCGGTTCAACCTATTACCCTATTTACAGGTATATAAGCCGCATCCTTTTTGCTCTAAAGGCCAACACGCCAAAGGACTGACTGTCATCATGGAGCGCGTTATGGGAGAGCAATATGCGGTAAGGCGACCACTTTGCGAGGCATATGCGCGGCGGCACGCCTGGGTCTGCTCGCGTTCAGAGCAAAAAGGGTGCGGCTTATACACCTGAAAATAGGGTAGGTTGTTACATAAGTCTTGTTGAACTTTAATTTCTTACGGCAATAAGTCATGCACCTTATATTCTTTACAGGGCTCCAGGGTACCATTCAACAGAGCAAAGCAAGCTCTACAAGGTAATGTGCAAAAGTTCGCGCCCACTTCGATCCACTGTAGGTTTGCATCCAAAATTTGAGTCGTACTGAGGGCTCAAAAAATCGCGAAAAATTCGTATCTTTGTTCGAAAAAATCCCACGACTTTCCAACTTGCTCATAAAAATTACACATTGTATCAGACACTCATGTGTACCGTTCCTGGATTTTTCCTTCGTCTAGAAATTAAGAAAACGAAAGTTTTCTTGTTTTTTACAAAAATGGAGTTATGCAGTTTCTGTTCATGTAGCTGTATACTGCAAGCGCTTAGAGGTACAACCGTAAATTTTCAGCTTTCCAGAAGCCCTAGTTTTCGAAAAATACCGAACTTAGCTTTTTTCGCTCGGGGGTTCAATGCTAAATCAGGTATTTTTCGAAAAGTAGAGCTTCTGGAAAGTTAAATTTTACGGTTGTACTTGTAAGGGCGTGTAGTATACAGCTACATGAACAGAAACACCATAACTCCATTTTTGTAGAAACAAGAAAATTTTCGTTTTCTCAATTTCTAGACGAAGAAAAATCCAGGAGCGGTACACATGAGTGTCTGATACAATGTGTAATTTTTGTGAGCAAGTTGGAGATTTGTAGAATTTTTTTGAGCGAAAATATGAATTTTTCGTGATTTTTGAGCCCTTAGTACGACTCAGATTTTGGATGCAAACTTATAGTGGGCCGAAGTTAGTATGAAGTTTGCATAATGTCTTGTAGAGCTTACTTTGCTCTATCAATTGGTACCCTGGAGCTCTGTAAAATCTGAGATGCTTGACTTATCGCCGTAAGAAGTTAAAGTGTAACAAGACTTGTGTAACAACCTAATAATATTAGGTTGATGCAAAAATAATGAGCGTTTTCATAGAACTTTTTTCAGGACAACTTTTCTCCATCAAACTTCTTTCTTTGTAATGGTTTCCGCACATTGTTAGAAAGCTCTTTTCATGCTCTATCTAAGGGTGTTTGAAATGGACTTTTAGCCCACTCTGTTAAGAATTTATAGAGCTTCAAACAGTCGCACTCAAACCAGATTTTCGTTGCATTCATTTTTCTGGCCAGAATTTGAGCGCGAATGAAGGTGGTTTATCGAAAATTTAGTTGCTATATGTGATGGAAACTGTCTAGATTATGCATATTTAACCGTATCTTTTGAAGTTATCTGAAGTGAGATATCGGCGGCTTAACATGGGTAATGGTTATGGTCATTTTAGAGCCCATAACTTTCTTTTGTAGAACGCAGTCGTTCAAACTTTGCTCATCTCTGTAAGCGTGAGGGTAGGAGTCCTATTAGCAGTTTTTGCCAACACATCCAGGTGTTCAGTACGCAGAAAAATAGAAAATCCTATACTTCGGGGTTTTGAAGTTTATTGAAAAAATGCTAAAAAAGTAGATATTTTTGAATTTCGATTTTTCCCTCTTCGATAATTGTTTTTCTCCAAACCGTTTCCATGTATATTTGTACGACTGGCTTGTGGCTACGAGATAGGCTGCTTATAAATGGTAACAACAAAGTATGAAAGGAGTTATGTTTTGTCAAAAACAGGACCTCAAAAAAAATTGTTGTTTTTCAATCCATATTTTTCTGCCCATATGAGATATGAGTATAAGTTAATGTGTGCTGTCTCAGACAGCGGATAGGACCCCTCCGCCGGAGAAATGGCAGGGTCGCGGCATATCCCCAGCGGTGGGTCTCCCATTTGTCCGGCGGAGCCCTCCCATTTGTCCGGCGGAGACCTCCCATTTCTCCGGCGGATACCTCCCATTTTCTGCTCCGGAGACCTCCCATCTTCTGCTCCGGATACCCCCCATTTTCTGCTCCGGATACTTCCCATTTTCTGCTCCGGATACCTCCCATTTTCTGCTCCGGAGCCCCCCGATTTTGTGCGCCGGAGCCCCCCGATCGCGGCATACTGTAATTAGCCCTAATTAAAGGCAGCTTCCAGGCAGATCTGGACCTATGGGGCTTTTACATGGAAAGTACTTTTGGGGCCCTAACTAAGGCACTGCCGAAGCAGCAGCTCAGGTAGTGCTCCAATGGCTGAGATATTCCCCTCGAAACAGACCCCCGCGAACGTACTCGCATGGATTCATGGCAGTTTCGCGCCAGGATCCACTCTTTGCGCCATGAATCCATGCGAAACACGGTCGCGGGGTCCGGTTTCGAGCAGAATATCTCAGGCGTTAGAGCACTACTTGAGCTGCCGGTTGGGTAGTGGCTTAGTTAGGGCCCCAAAATACTTTCCATGTAAAATCCCCATAGGTCAAGACTTGCCTGGACGCTGCCTTTAAGCTCCAAACCCCAATTTTGTCTCTAAACCCCACCCAAATAAGCCGAATAGGACCCCCCCCCCCCCCCGGGTAGGAGTTTAGCGCGACCCTCACCCCGTACTCTACCCCCTCCCTCTCACCCCTAGCGTTTGTGGATAGAAGATAGAAGAAAGAACGAAGAGATAAGACATTTATTTCAAATCTTTCAAACTTCTTCGAAAAATCGTCTCATATCGTAAATCATTTCACACCCACTGGTGTAAAAGAATGAACCTTTCCAACCAAACAACGGTTTGTGGAACAGTTTAAATTGCAGTCGCAGTCGGCCCATATTATCTATTTGCTTGCATATGTGAAGAACGAATTGTTCTCCACTGATGTCATCGGGAACAGCGCCAAGATTGAATGATCGATGAGATAATGATCCACCTGTTTAATAACATAAACGTAAATGACGTTGCTAATGATTAGAGAAACTCACTTGTAAGAACACAACCTATCCAACATGCATGATAGTAGTTCATTGAGTTTGAACCTCGGTTCCGTATGTTCTTCATCATCAGGAAGATCGTAAAATAGTTAGATAGTTTTTACCAGGGTACTGGGAAGCGACACTTGCATAAGGCGTTTATTATAGCCTCGTCTTCACTGAAAGATAGATCATGATTTTTTTTAACTTCACAAAAATTATCTGAGATCAAAACGTTAATAAATTTTTAGTTAATGCAAAGTCATAACTGAACTCACGTAGATCAAGAAAAATATAGAATTTAGGAGAAGCCATCCTCTTTGGGAAGAAGACGGCTGTAAATAATCAACAATGCTAGATGCCGCTTCGACGGTACCATGACTGGCCGCTCTGTAAACGCTATGAATATATCAGCTATGAAAACAAACATTACGCACCTCTGTCTAACTTCTCTTACTAAAACACTGCAGAGAAACGTAGTGAAGTTCAGAATTTTTTTGGACTCTGCTTTCAACTCGGCCGGCGTGAACATGGCCATGACCTAGAAGAGGCAGACGCTACTGTGATAAGTTACAAAGCTATGAAAGACAACAAAACAAGGAAGAGCAAACATTGCAAGCACAGAAAATGTAAAAGTTAACATGGATTAGAGTAAAGAGGAAAAAAACATTCAATTCACGAACCTTTGTAAATAATGGCAATAAACGGTTTGGGTCAACATCTCGACATCCTGAGAGAGGTATTCGCATATATTCACTGAACGTTTTCCGCAAGTGCAAGAGTGTCAGAGTACGATCACCCTTATCACTCATTTCCGATACTTCAGCGAGCGTTGAGTTGCGGAGCAATCTGTGTAAGTAATGCACATAGGTACTATCAAAGTGACATGTAGCTTTGGAAAATCACTTCGCCTTACTTGGAATATTGATTACCATCACCTATATTATGTAAAAGTCAATAGTATCCAGATATGTAAGCACCAAATGAACAAACATTGGAAAATGATGTTAGATGAAAAGACTGGAAAGCGAAAGATATTCCCAAAAACAGCGCATTATCAATGGTGACACTTGGTCCAAATGCACTACTTTCATGTCCGATGAAGCGAGTGACATTCTGCTTCCTTAGGCACCCGCCATACTTACCCCTCTTGATCCGCTTGATCCGCTTGCTCCGCTTCTTGCAAGACGCGTGTGAAACGCGCGCACTCAGTAGTCTGTCATTTGGCGCCGCGTAGGTAAAAAGCGATCTCGGTGGTTAGGCAAATTCGCTGTACGTGACGCCAAATGACAGACTGCTGTGTGCGCGCGTTTTGCACGCGTCTTGCAAGAAGCGGAGCAAGCGGATCAAGCGGATCAAGAGGGGTAAGTATGGCGGGTGCCTTAGACATGAAAGGCTACAAAGTACGAGCAAAAAAGAACAACAACTTCTCTTGTAGTGCAATGACGGCAGTTAGTTGAAAAAAATGACAAGATGTTTTTTCCGTATCTCTCTACTTATACCATCAAGACCAGAGAACTATAGAAAACGCTAACAAGAAAGCAGAAACCAAATGAGTGAGATGAAATGACGCTGACGTGCTCCACCGCCAAGACCGACACCCAACGAGAATGTGCGATTGGACCAGATGACCTTAATTTGACAGCAACTATGATTACGTGGATGACCAAAGAAGCTATCTGTAAGATACCAAAAACATTTCAAAACTGCGCTAGACTCTTGATTGAAATGACAAGGATATGTTGAAACTATATGTTCTACAACCTTGATACCTCAG